AGTACAGAAGGTAAGACAGTTGACCCAGGTTTGATCCCTGGCATCCCATATGATTACACACACACACACACACACACACACACACACACACACAAACCACCAAGCGTAATTCTTGATGCAGAGCCAGGAGTAACCCGAGTACCATACTGCCAGGTATGGCCCAAACAAAACAGGTTAGGACCAGAGAGATAGTAGAGAGGTAGGGCATTTTCCATGCACATGACCAACACAACTTCGTTCCCTGTCATCCCATAGTCCCCTGAGCACTGCCAGGAGTAATTCCTGAGTACAGAGGTAGGAATAATAACCCCTGAGCATCACCAATGTGGACCAAAAATCAAAAAAAAATTCCCCCTTTCCCTCAGAAAATAAAAGTGTCAAAAAGAACAAAAAAGGCACATGTAGCATGTTAGTAAATCTATACACACTTTGGGGGAAAAGTAAACTACTTCAGCATTAGTCTATTAAAATAGTTGATATTGGGAACCTGAGAGATAGTATAGCAGCCACGGGAACTTGCACTGTGTATATCGTACCTTAGGTCCCTAAGCCAGGAGTAAGCTTCAGCACCAGGTATGGCCCCAAAACCAGAAACCATAGTTGATATTTTATGTTCTTACAGGTGAATATATATACATATATATGTATGTATGTATACACATATATAAAATGCAAGTGGTATTAACAGGAAGTTAGCCTTATTATCATTACATTGTCTTCTGAGTGACACGGGTAATTTGACAGAATTTTTTTAATAGGTATGGATCAGCTTTGCTCAGTTTGAGTTGTCGTCGGGGAAAGAAGGTAGTTTGGCTAAATGCAGACAAATTTATGAAGAAGCTAACAAAAGTATGCGAAACTGTGAAGAAAAGGAAGAGAGGCTTATGCTGCTGGAATCATGGAGAAGCTTTGAAGATGAATTTGGAACAGTAACAGATAAAGAGAGAGTAGACAAACTCATGCCAGAGAAAGTCAAGAAGAGGAGAAAGGTCCAGACCGATGATGGGGTAAGAGCTAGCCCTGAAGCTGTTATCTCACGAGTATCTTGTATCATGAGAAGGGCAAGTGATTTTGAATTTTATACTTCCCAAGTGGTGTGTTTGCAGTTAGATAATGGGAGTAGACAGTCTCTAGGTGAGTCTGACAACTATAGACAAAGCAGTGTATATAGTCCGCCCATCAGAGAAGGGAACTGGTGACAGCTTCGTAAGGATAGTTGATTCTAGGATCTGCATGAAGGGGCATTTCTGGAGCATTGGGCAGAAAGTTAGTGTTAAGGGAAATGTAGCTTACCTTTTCAACGGAACCCAGTCAGAGAAAATGTGGATTATAGGAAGGTTTTTAGACACAAAATGTTCATGGTACCTCCTGTAGGTGCTCCCAAAGGGCTTATATTGGAAGAGACCTACCAGAAAGCTATAAAAATCAAATTGTGGTCAAAGCTGGAACTAGAGAAGTCTTTGAAAAGTAAAAAGTGACTTACCGGAGTTGGTAGGAATATGAGGGTAGTCAGAATGATAATGTAGGTACAGATCAGTGGGTTTTATAAGTGCTTATTTACTAAGTAAATCTTGGAAAATGTGAAGGCTAAACCTAAAACTGCAGAAGAGATGTAGACACTGAATATCTTCTTAGTTGACTATTTAAGAGCTGTACTTCTTCCTTTTTTTCAGTATTTTTTGGTCCAGGATTTTGGCTGTCTGAGCTACAGTCACAGCAACACCAAATCCAGAGATGGTTACTCATTGTCAATCTCTAACTGCCTACCCTTTGACCTTCTGTAGTATACCTTAATATTGTTTCATAAAATGAAAAGGTTAAACTGTTTTCACAGAAAAATCCTCCACTTTAACCAAAATCTGAGCATCTCAGCCACAGGTAGCTATCTTTAACTTTGGGTTTTCTTTTTGTTATTTTTTTGTAGTCTGATGCTGGCTGGGAAGAGTATTATGATTACATCTTTCCAGAAGATGCTGCCAACCAACCCAACCTTAAACTCCTGGCCATGGCCAAACTTTGGAAAAAACAGCAACAGGAGAAGGAGGCCGCTGAGCAGGATCCAGATAAGGATGTCGATGAGAGTGAATCCTGATCTTTTGTTCATACTGAGAAAAAAACTTTATTTTTATAAATAGTTTGGAACTTGTAGGATTCCTGTAAAGGTTTTGTATATATCAGCAACCGCAAATTGAATTTTTCAGCAGCTACTTTTCAAATTACTTCAAAATACACTGGGGTCTGTTTTGGGAATTAACTGCTGGATGTTTTTTTTTTAGTCTGAATCTAAACATTGTTTTGCCCACCTCCTACATCCAGGGATCTAATTAAGTTCTCTATTTTATACGGAACTGCAGATTTTTGAAAGAATCTTTTTCTAGAAGTTTTGAAGTTACATTCCGCAATACTCCAGTTGCCTGATCTCATGCTTTTGGATGGTATTTTATGCACTCAACTCAGCTTTTTCATGTCTGAATTTTCATGTCTGAATTTTTCATGTCTGAATTTTTCATGCACTGAATTTGAGCTCCACTCCTGCCTCTGCCACAGTTACATAATTTACCCTTAATTTCAGTTTACTCATACATACACGGGCTAATATTTTTCCAGTTCATTTTGAAAATTAAATGATAAAATATCATTTAAGTGCTCAGAATAGTGTTACTAGCAAGTTTATTTATTCCTTACTATTGACAGCTATCATTACCCGCATGACAGCTGTCACTTAAAACTAAATGTTTTTGAAAGCATTACTTGGAAAATAACTTTCTAAATAAGATCTTTTTTTCTTTACTAAGAAATTTGAATTTTAATTATGCTGTAATGTTATGCAAACTAGTTGAATCCTCTAGTGGTTTGAGAATTGCTAACACACATGCTGTGAAAAATTTTCATCCCATGCTCAAATAAATATGAAAAACCAAACATTAAGTCTTGTTAATAAAATTTCTTTATACTTAGATTGGGTAGAGCCTTTGATACATTTAATTAGCAGTACAGTCCATTTGTTTCCAAGCTACAGAATCATTTCTACCTAAAATACCAATAGACATCTCCCATTGTGTTGCAGATGTATCTACCCTGAGGGTTGACACATACTTGCCTTGGCTTTGGTGGTTTTGTTTTGTTTTGTTTTGCTTTTTGGGGTCTCTCCCGGTGATGCTTAGGGGTTACCCCTGGTCCGGTATTCAGGAATTACTCTTGGCAGTGCTTGGGGAATCATGGGATGCTGGGAATCAAACCCAGTTTGGCCACATGCAAGGCAAACGCCCTACTCTCTGTGCTGTCCCTTCAGCTCCTTGCCTTGGTTTTAAAACATGTGAAAAGCAGCACAAGGATGAAAGCTTACTCACTGATGTAGTGCTCATGTTCTCAAGCAGAAATGATTTGCTTTAACTGATCTGAGGGATTATTTCCTTTAACTTGACTTGCATTTATCAGGACTTTTTTCCCCCTTATTTTGGTCACAGCCCAAACTGTTTAACTAAAACTGCATCTATACCTCAAAGGCCAACTGCAAATTAATCACTAAATTTTAAACTATTCACCCAGTGTTACTAAATTGTATCTTGAAAATACAATAGTGTGACGACAATAACTAGACAAAAACCAGAAAAGTGAGGTTATAAATTTTAAAAGATCAAAACTTTATTTTCACCTTGCTGCTTGAGTTCTTTTAAATGGTCCCATTGTGTATCCCAGAGTGTTGAATTACTGAGATGTCTAGTAAAGTGGAGCAGTTAGGGTTTTAATATCTTCAGTTAAAGAGTAAAGGAGCGATACAGTCAGGTCAGATTTCTAATGTGTGACTTAAAGAGTATTTTTAGAGTTGTCTTAAGTCACTTGTATGCATACAAAAAAATCAATGACCATGTTCTCAACATAAATTTCTTGCACATTCCAGCATAAAATTATCTTGGGGGAACATAAAGGATCAGTTGTTCACCTTCAACTCCATCAAAATAGATGCTATAAACAGTAAAAGCTTGGAAATAATCATTTCCATGGGTTTTATCTTGTTTGCTCACTGGTATTTTCAGGTATTACAGGTGATGAAAACTACACATAAAAATGTGTTTTCACATGCACTGTGCTGGGGAGCCAGGAACATGGCTCTGAGGGTTGGAATGATGCTGTGCATTAGGGGTCCCAAGCCCCACTGCTGGCACCACTGCCAAGTGTGCCCCATTTCCTCCAAAAAGAAGTAAGTGCTTGACCTATGATATAGTGATAACGGCCTTAATTTAGAAATTCAGGGGGGCGCGGGCTGGGGGGGAGAGTGGCGGGGGGGGACAGAACCAGAGTTTCTCCTTTTAAAAAAAAAACATCTTTTTAAAGTTCAGTTTGGAAGCTATTTTGAGTGGTGCTTAGGGATCAGATCAACTCCTGGCAATACTGGGAGAACCTATGTGGCGCTGGGGACTGAAACTGGGTCGGCTACATACACAAGGCAAGCGCCTACCTGCAGTACTATTGCTCTCACCCTGAAAGGCAGGATTTTAACCAAAATATTTCAAGATAAGGTAAATATTTAGGTCTTGCAATATGAATAGGAACTAGGAAGAACTGCATAGAAACTAGGAAGATCTGCACAAGAAAGGATGCTTACGTATATGCTGGAAAGATTATTTTAAGTAAGCACTTGAAAAAATGCTTAGTGTATAAATGAAGATTTGCCAGTCAGTCATGGTCCTCCCATTATTCATCGATTTGCTCGAGCGGGCCCAGTAACATCTCCTTCGTGAGACTTGTTGTTACTATGTTTGGCATATTGAATACATCATGGGTAGCTTGCCAGGCTCTGCCATGCGGGCATTATACTCTCGGTAGCTTGCCGGGCTTTCCGAGAGGGGCGGAGGAATTGAACTTGGGTCGGCCATATTGGCTGTGTGCAAGGCAAATGCCCTACCCACTGTGCTATCACTCCAGCCCAATGAATATTTAAGAGAAATATTCTAAATTACGATCTCCATTCAAATCATTTTAAAACCATTCACAAAACATTGAGTCAACAATGCATTTTATTATACATCTTAGATTATACATTTCATATATGCTTTTAAAGCTCTAACAGATCAATACAAAATAAAGTCTATATATGCAGCAGTGGTTCTCAGGCCCAGAACTGAGATTGAAACAATTTTTCCCCCTAGCATAGAGTAAATATCATAAACCATGATAGTGGAATGTTTCCCTTCTGACCTAGCTGCCTTTCTGAATAAATTTTATTTCAGTGAACAGCTATAGTAGGTATAATATTGTTAATTAGAAATGAGACATAGAAAGTTTATAACCTATGTTTTCCTGAAGTCTTTAAGAACTAATTGATTACTTTTTCCTAACAGAGCTCGACGATCATCCAATGAAAATAACACTGTTCATAAAATATTTGGAACTTCAGCCTAAGAACCACTGCCCATGGTTATTCAATATCTTCAGGCCTCACAGGATGAGGTAATGGTATGATGGATTTCTTCTCAGTGTCCCTGGAAAGGGCTTTCCTCATATCTGTTAGGAAGCAAAGTTGAATGTAAATACCCAAATATCAAAGCACGCAAATCAAATTTAAAGTCTATTAAGTAAAATTCCCATTCACAAATACATCAGATGCTAAAGAAATCTCAGTTGAGATTTCATCTCCTCATAGAAATGATCTTTTAACAGAATCTTAGTGAAATAACAAGATATCTGTAATGGGATAAAACAGTGATTAATTGAAATTCACCGCTGGTTAGTTAAGTGGGTTTGGAAAAGGCAGGTTAAAAGAAATTAACCTCAAAATCTAATTCCAAGCAATATAATTTTGTTGAACTTATCCAAAAGCAGAATTTTTCAGTCTGTAGGAAGAATCTGAATGTTTCCATGTCCTCTTAGAGATGCTCTCCCAGGAGCTTACCATAAGCATCTTCATCAGGCTCGCCATTGCTGGCTGAATAGTACTCGATGACAGTCCTGTACACGCTGTAGCCCAGCTGCTTGTACATGTTCACTGCAACTTGGTTAGAAACTCGTACAAAGAGATCCACAAAAAATCCACCCTTTCTTTTAAGGGAAAGAAAAAAACAAATTCGGAAAATGTCAGGCAAATGTTAGAATACCTAAAAAATTTCAGTGAGAGGGACTTAGAGCTTATCAACTTTAATTGCTGAGGATAATTATCTTGCAGTATAAAACAGATGACTTTCTGCTTTGCATACTAACATTTCAAAAACACAGATCTTCATAAAAGATAAAAGCATTTTAAAAATTCTGTTACTAGGCTTACATCATAGTAATTGGCAAGTTCATTTTGCCAGTCATGCAATAATTTCAGTCATTTATATACAGACTGGAGCAAAACGCCAGTGTGGCCATGACCCAGCTGTAGCAAGAGAGGACAATGGTCTCATTCCTGAAGTCTCCACCACCTGATTCAGTTGATCCTGCTGATGAATGCACTGTGTTGAATTACACTGTGTATATATGGGTGGATTTGTATTATGTGAGTTAGCATCAGTGTGACTGTAACTTGTTCATCCTCACTTTGTTTAATATTCCAGTGTATAGATAAACACTGCAGGCTCCATGTAAACCCTGTGAACAAACATTTCCAATTTTTATTACAAACTGTTCTGTTTATGAATATTCTTGTGGTTCTCGTGGCACAATATAGATCAGATTTATAGAGATGGGGTATGCACATCTTCAGTTTATTAGGTAGTATCTATCTCCCAGCCTGCTTACAATGCCATACCTTATTACACCACGTGATCAAGACTGCCCGCAGCACTTAAGTCATCAAATATTTTTATTTTTGAAAAACTTATAGTGTACTGGTATCTCAGAGCAAATTTAATGGGCATTTCTGATTTGAGTTTATTGGCTATTTAAATCTCTCACTCTATAGTACTTATTGTTCTTTTTATGAACTCTATTTCTTTCCTCCCAACTGTAATTCTCTAAATAGATGTTAAAGATACCTCTTAGAGATAAATTTTAGAGATATCTTGAACAGTTTTTCTTTTTTCTAAGTTCTTGATTACTTTGATACCATTTAGCATCTTTTTCTAAATTTTACTGTTACAGAAATACAAAATTTTATACCAATTTCAACTGTGAATAACTATTCTAAACATTTTTGGGTCTTGAAAGTTATATAGTTTTATACCAGTCAAGTATGCTTAGTCTCTAAATATTTGTCTTTTATTGTACTATGTCTGCTTTTCCTTGAAATTATCAAAGTCTGGGGGCTAGAGAGATAGATAGTGCAAGGGGTAATGCTTGCCTTGCATACCAACACTGATTTTATTCCCCCTCCCAAAAAAAAAAAAAGGTTGAGAAAGGTTCCCTCTTTTTTCTTTTTGAATATAAAAGTGAATTTACAGTCATTATTTCTTTAAGATTTGGTAAAATTTACCAGAGAAGTGATAGTTTTCATTGTGGAAAGATTTGGTGTTTGTTTTTTAATTTGGTCCACACCCGGCAGTGCTCACAGGGCTAATATGGGGTATCACGGAGCAAACTCATATTGGCCACACAGTAACAACACTTTTTAAAGTATGTCATTAATAAACTATAAATGATAATCATACAAAAATAATTCTCTTTCTTATTCAGTTTAGAGTATTTTAGAATCCTTAGGGACTTAGGGACTAAGAGTTGACTTCTTTTTGATTAACTCTATTTCTTCTCTCAATGAGTTCAAGTTCCTCTTGCCTACAACTTGACTCAGAGCCTCAGAGCCTTTTTTCAGGTCAAGATTACTAATAAAAATTTAAAATAAATAAATACCATTTAATCATTAAATACCATTTCTAAAAAAAAAAAGATTACTTCTTTAAAACTTAGCTTTATCAAGGGAACAACATGACAGTACAGTGCGTAGAGCCCTTGCCTTGTACACTGCTGACCTAGGTTCAATCCCAGCAACCCAAGCACCACCAGGAGGGATCCCTCAGTGTAGAGATAGGATAACCCCTAAGTACTGCCAGTTATGACCCAAAAACAATAACAACAAAACAAAAACCCCAAAACATAGCTTTATCAAATCTACTGATTATGTGCAGAACATTAAGAGCCCTTCCAGTAGGTATTTCCTGTCCTAGATACACTTCTAGGCACTTATGATTCAATACAAAATAAAACAAGCAAACAAGATCAACAAAAAAACAGCAGCACAGGAATGCATGTGGTTGTATCCAGTTTGTTTCCAGCAGTTTGAAGAGCCATGCAGTCTCCCAACATGTACCAGTCACTTAACAAGTAAGATTATTTTTCTTTTAGTTTTTCCAAAAAGACAGACCATATTAACTGCTTATAAACAAACTATTTTCTTTTGTTCTAGGACATTACAAAAACGAACTAGAGATGCTCTGAATCTAGACATTACTGATAGAGAATTTGCAAACTTATGTCCCAATGGTGAGGATACTAAAAAAAAACCTTGAGGCCTAGTCTTCAATTCCACCAATACACAGCTTTATAAATCTCTGGCAAACCGCTCACTTTGCCTGTATTTACCTCAGTGGCAAAACAAGAACAGCAGACTCATTCTGAATATTGAAAAGAACTGTTATGAGGACTGTTACACAATGAAAATGAAATTCCTATAAACTGTAAAGTATAATAGTTAACCTGAAGGAAAAAAGTTTATAAATGCTTATCAAGAGAAAAGAACAAATGGTATTTGAAGAAATAGGTACTTGAAATTAAAGGATCTCACCTTTCTGAAATCTCCTCCAATAACTCCATAAGTTTTGCAGCCAGACCCAGGCGTCGGAACTCGGGGGCAACAGACAGAGCCGTGACGTGGCCATGCCATTCCTCCCTGGCGACTGACCCTTCCGCCTTACCCATAACTGCAACAAGATTTAATTCCAGGATTAAGTGCACAACTTCACCAGAAATGTTTCATAAGTTTGGGACATTTGATCATAAAGGAACATATGACAATGACAAAGTTTTCATTTCAGGTCCTTCTTAAGTTATCTAGCTAATGGTTAATAGTGCTCTTATTTGAATGTCACTTTTAAGTACAATGTTAGATCTAACTGAATCAGAATTAGAAAAAAGTTAAAAGAATGTTAAGCTGAAACCACTAAATTTGAACACAGACCCATAATATACATTTTTTTAGTCTACATATATATGTGTAGGCATGCACGTATACAGAACTGAAACAATCTACAGCTCAGATTTTTATTAGTAATGTACTAACCCAAATAAATTACAATCCTTGCACTATGTGCCAAATAAACCATGTTAAGATTTAACATAAATACAGTATTGTAGCACTGTCCTCCCGTTGTTCATTGATTTGCTCAAAGAAGCCCCAGTAACGTCTCCACTGTGAGACTTGTTACTGTTTCTGACATACTGAATAAGCCACTGGGAGCTTGACAGTCTCTGCTGTGTGGGCGTGATACTCTCAGTAGCTTGCCGGGCCCTCCGAGAGGGATGGAGGAATCGAACCCAGGTTGGCTGCATGCAAGGCAAACGCCCTGCCAGCTATGCTATTGCTCCAGAATGGGTAGGGCGCTTGCCTTGCACGCAGCTGACCCGTGTTCAAATCCCAGCATCCCACATGGTCCCCTGAGCACCGCCAGGAGTAACCCCTGTGCATTGCTGGATATGACCCAAAAAGCCAAAAATATATATCTATAATGAAAAATTCAAGATGATGGAAACCGTATCTGTCTGTGTCCCTGGTCCTAACACACTCCTTAAGACAGGGGAGATCAATGAGCTGTCAAAACGATTGGAGAAGAATAAAATGATAGGCATTGCAATTAGCTTTCCAATTCTATCTAAAAATCAGTTGAAATCAATCATAAAATCTTCATTAACTACCTATCAAAAAAAGTGTCAGTAGTATTATACTTACTGTAACCCATTAACTCTCCACCAGGAGCCTCTGCAACAATGAAGTACTCTGGCCAGTGGGCAAGATACTGTAAGTAAAAAGGAATCCCATACTATGTCGAGCTTGTTAAGGAGTGTGAGAAATAACGGAGACTAACAAGTTCTTCATAAAGTTATGGGTACTCTGAAGAAAGATATGCTTTAGTTCCCAGGCCTAAATAAGTATGATGTCTTAGGAGAGCACTAATTCCTAACACAGCTGCACAAACATATATACCTCAGATGTGAATGGAGACAATACGAAACGTGCAAAAATCAGGCCTCTAAAGCTGCCTCTTCCTACAGATCACACTGTCTAAATCACTGCATAGCACTTGCTACCTGATAGATATTCTTGTTGAATTAGCATGTCCTCTTAGTCACATCTGTCAATGTTTATTCTATCCCTGGTACTTGGCACAATAGTAGAACTCAATACTTTTATTTTTCTGTAATCACACTGGAAAATTAATGACGTGTCCTTACTTTAGCACCAGCACTGAATCTCAGAAAATAACTTTGAAAATTATATACTTATAGAGGTAATATAACAATTATCATGTTTTTCCCCCTCCACTGATTCAAATTCTCCATTTTTAGCAATGTGGAGAAACGCTGACTTGAGTGAATACCTAGATAATCTACTCATTACTTCAACTCATCCTCCCTCAATGTCTTTATTAACATGTACATTTCTATGTTACTTTTTGATGTAAGCTTGCTGATCAGGAGATACCATCAATCATACATTACTGGGGGGGTGGAAAAAATCCTAGGAAACCTAGACAATAGTGAATTCTTCTTTTGAAAGATGGCCATTATTCTGAGTACTCTACAAGCATAACTATAGCATGGTAGGCCAACCAGCCTTCTACCATTCAGCCACTGACACACATCTTAGCACACCCTTTCAGTTAAAAGAAGCCTCTAGAACCAGTCAGACCTGGAATAGAGACTAGTTACCTGTATGTATCTAGTTACTTTTTACTGCTGTATAATACTTCTGATGGGAGACATGTGGTTTCTTTCGCATTTCTCAAGTAACTTTTCAAATCCCTCATGAATATACCATAATTTATAGTGACTACAATATAACTTACCATTTCCTTATTGTGTGGCTGTCATCCACATTTTTATTATAAATCTAATATTTTTAAAGACATAACTAGAGTTAACCAACATTTTCGTCAAGGACTGGAAAACAAATCTTCTAAGCTGTATAGCCTTTACGGTCACTCTTACACTACTCAAGCTAAAAACATGAACAAAGTCCTATATATTATGTAAATTAGCACAATGCTCCTCCATAAAATGTTATTTATAAAACCAGACAGCAAGCCACACATTTATGTTTGCCAACCTCCAACTTTAACTGCCTCTATTTCCAGGAAATGGATTTACATTGCCAAAGTGTTTTAGAAAGATTGCCAACAGTTTATATTAGTAATTTCTGTGACTGTTCCTCTTACCTCATTCTTATCACGATGGTGGGGGCGTCCTTTGTTGTATTTTAGGCACCATGATTTAAACAGGTTCATGCATACGATGTTCCAACACTACACCCCTCACAAGAGTTATCTCCTTCTCAACTGTTCCCCCACCACCACCACAGTAAGCTCAGTTCAGTACTGGATTTTACCATTGCTTTTAATCCCAGTTAATTATAGGTCACACATAGCATCTTGATTTCATTTTACTGCATATGACTTCTGACAAACTAAACTCCGTTATAACTAGGTAAGTTTTCCATGAATCTGGTCAATAAAATTCCATAGGAGTGATATAGTACTTCCCTTGAAAGAGAAAGAACTTTCATCTTCCCGGGGCTGGAGCAATAACACAGCGAATAGGGCATTTGCCTTGCCGTGCTGACCTGGGTGTTCGATTCCCAGCATCCCATATGGTTCCCTGAGCACTGCCAGAAATAACCCCTGTGCATCGCCAGGTGTGACCCAAAAAGAAAAAAAAAAAACAACCTTCATCTTACTGTCCACTGACCTGGGTGTGAGGTCACTGACCAACCACCTGCTCTCAATACGTTATTAAGGGCAGGTGGTTGGTCAGCACAACCCACTGTATTGAAGAACCTCCTTTGTTGAATACAGCCAGACTTATTAGTTAGGAGTAAGGTAGATTCAGGAGCTTGACTTACAATTTAGATGAGGCCATTCTATTAGAAGTTCCTTTGGCAAATTTATGACAATTTTTGTTTCCAGGTTGGTGTTTCATGACATGCAAGGCAGTGTTTTTCAACTCCTATTTTCCCCTTTGTTTCTATATATTAGTTTTCATTTAATTTTTTTTTGTTGTTTTTTTAAAGGATACAGTTTCTGTAAGTGGATCCAAGTTACTGGAAAGAAACAAGAGAAATATCAATAATCTGTGTTTACAGAACTAATTTAACTAAGCCTATTAAAACTAAAAATGCAACAAGGAAAACAAAAGGTGCTAAACCCACAACCTTAAAACCAACTCTAGGACTAAGGAGATGGTTTATATTACCTAGTGACCCAGTAGGCAGTTACAATGACCATAAAGATAGCCATACACTTTCATTTTACTGTTTCTTTACCACATAACTTGATAGTTAATGAATATATATCATAGTCCTGGCACACACTTCATACAAGCTATAAGTCAAACTGCCCTGTGATCTCCACACCTCTGCGACAAATCCTTTCTCCTCTCCACTACCCACTGAACATGGGTTCCATCACCACTTGGTTGCTGCTCCCCATTTCTACATACCCACCTTTCCTTCCCCACTTCTCCAGTCCTCTATTTCGAGGCTGGAAAAAGCCTCCCAGGCCTGATAGGTGCTACTGCATGCCAACCTTGCCAGCATCTCTTTCAGACAGAGCATGTCTTTCCTATTCATCTGCAAAAACCACAAAGTTCTTAGTTTCTTCTTCAATGAACAGAACCACTATTTTCCATCTTCAACTCATGCTGTCTTCACTTTTTCTCTTGGGTATCCATACAAAGTCTTATTTGAAACCCTAAGCAACGCCCAAGTGATGTCTATCACGTTTTAGAACAGTTCCCAAACTTATGGGACTCCAGAGAACTTACGTTTAACTGGGTAATAGCTACTGACATTAAGATGAAATATTTTTACATGATAAGAAGAGCCTTTTAAATGGAAATATAATGAATATATGCCATTAGTTTCAGGTACACAAGATAATAATTCTATATTTGTAAATACTGAAGCATGATCACCACAGTAAATCTGTCACCATATGGGGGTATGGTGCTGCCAGCAGGTCAATATGTACTCGTGAGGCAAGTGCATCAGCAGCCTGATGGTGCCTTCAGACTTTTAGATACCCCAAAATTGTTGCTGTGCCTTTGGTCCGATCCCAACAACTTGGGGCCAAGTTTACCAAAAAAGTCATTGTCACTGTCCTCCCGCTGTTCATCAATTTGCTCAAGCAGGCCCAGTAACGTCTCCATTTTGAGACTTCTTGTTACTGTGCTTGGCATATTGAATATGTCACAGGTAGCTTGCCAGGCTCTGCCATGTGGGCGAGATACTCTTGGTAGTAAACAGCCAAAAGTTAAGTATATGGGAGACACACCCACAAGCCATCTTGGGCTCAGCTATGTAATTGGAGGCATGGCCTCTCTAGTTCCTAATCAAACTGCTTAATGGCCATGATCCCAGAGACTCAGAAACAAATCTCGAAACCCAGCAGCTTTTGGCAGAAATGCATCCGGTCCCCACAGTAGGTTACCGGCGCTGGGCCAACCCAGGTGGGAATAGGTTTCATGCCTTGGCTGTTCCCCCTGGCAGCTTGGTGGCCACCATGCTCCAGAGGCCACTGGACAGTCAGGTTTGGGCCCACAGTGATGAGACACGTGGGGGCTCTTGGGATGGGGGTGGAGCCGGCCCCTTCCTCCCCGCCCCAATGAGACCCCATATCGCCACCCATAAACAGCTTCTCTGACTCCTGATCAAGCTGCTTAACGGCCATGATCCCAGAGACTCAGGAACAAATCTTGAAACCCAGCGGCTTTTGGCAGAGATGCGTCCGGTTTCCACAGTAGGTTACCGGCACCTGGCCACCCCAGAGGGGAAAGGGTGCTGTCCCTCTGCCTGCTCCCTCTGGGCGGCTTGGTGGCTATCATCCTCCAGAGACCATTGGACAGTCAGGTTTGGGCCCACAGTGATGAGACACAAGGGGCCTCATGGGATGTGGGTGGAGCCGGCTCTTTCCTCCCCGCCCCAAGGAGATCCTGAGTCCCCGCTCACGAATGGCCTCCCTGGCTCCTGATCAAGCTGCTTAATGGCCATGGTCCCAGAGACTCAGGAACAAATCTCAGAACCCAGGAGGTTTTGGTAGAAATCCCTCCAGATTTGTTAAAATTTCAGAATTCCAAAAGCATGCAGCCACTACTACGGCCCCATGACATTATGTTATTCATAACCAGCAATAGACAACAAATTGTGTACAGTTGCCTTTTCAGCAGATCTGAGTGTTGGGGTAAAATCCCAAATAATGGTGGGTCTAGGGTCAAAATATTTAATGAAATCAAAGTGGAGAGAGAGAATGTGGAAATCATCTGCCCCACAGGTAGGGGTAGGGTGCAGGATGGAGGGTATACTGGGGTTTTTGGTGGTGGAAAATGGGCATTGGTGAAGGGACAGGTGTTTCATCATTGTACCCAAAAGCTTTGTAACTGCTCTCATGGAGATTCAATAAATAAATTTATAAAAAAGTAAGGTGGAGTTCATGCCCAATTCAATCAGCCTAATCAATGGTTTAATAAATAGCAATACTCCTACATTAAAAAAAAATCTGTCACCGTATACCTTTAAGTCTCCCTTTATGATGAAACTTTTTAAGACATATGCACTCAGTAACTTTCAAATATGCAGCACAGTATGATAAAGGCTATAATGTATATTTCATATAAATAAAGGCTATAATTTAAATTTCAGAACTTACTTTTGAACCTTTTGAGCACCTTCAGCTATCTTTGCATGAATACCTTATTTCCCTGCATAATGATCACCACTACAAAATCATCTCACCCTTAAGTACACTTGCAGAAATTTTTTTGTCATGAAATCTACATCATGCAAAGAAATGCAGTGACTTTTTTTCCCCTTTTATTTTTTTTTAAGTTTTGGGGCCACACCCAGTGAAACTCAAAACTTACTCCTGGTTTTGTGCTCAGGGGCGCTCTGAGAGGGGCGGAGGAATCGAACCCGGGTCAGCCGGCCCGGCCGCAGGCAAGGCAAATGCCCTACTGCTGCGCTATCGCTCCAGCCCAAATGTAAAAGTTTGTTAAATTGCAACATTTCTTCCTTCACTGCTTCATTCCCCCTTCATCACCCTTATCCAATGGTTGACCCTCAGGGTTCTCTACCAAAGTGCCCAAATCAGAGTAAGAAACAAGAGAACACGGGAGAGGAGGGAGCCCCTGACTGGCACACTCTGAAGAGGCCCTATCAAGCTCGATGAGTTTTGAAATCTCATTTATTTGTTGGAAATGTCCACAAGTGCATTCCTCCTCCTTGTCTCACTTTCATATAAAATCACGCCCGTTCCTAGGCCTTCCCGTGCCTCCCTCGCAGGCACAGTCCTGTCCCAGGTCCACACCTGTCACCCCTGCACCTGCCAGGATCCTCTCTGGCTAACGAGACCCTCGGCGGCTGCTACCTCCTCGGGAAGCTTCGCGGGCCAGAGCCTCGGTCAGTCTCCAGCACCGAGAACTCGCATTTCAGAGACGTCCCGGGGCAGAAGCCGAAGTCTCGGTCCTGCTCGGAGGGAGTCTCGGATTCGAGTCCTACCCGGGGGGTCCCAACTCCCGGGCCTCGGAGCTTGGCTTTTTTCTCAGGGTTCAAACCAGGCTCAGCAGTCTTTCAGGACAAACGACACGATTGGGGACTCGGGACAGAAACATCGAAATAGGGTGGTGGGAAGGTGTAGCGGTGGCGGGATCGGTGTTTAATATTAAATGTAATCAAAGATCGCGGACTCCTTTATAAAATTAAAAAAGTAAAATGAGGCTGACGCTGCCAGCTCACAGGCTCGAGAGGCTGTTAGGGACGCGGTTCCCCCATGCCGGGATGACAGCCGCCCATGGCCCTCGGGGCGTGATGCCCCCGAGGCACACCCGCGACGGTGGCCGAGCCCCTCGAGCCCTGCTGACCCCCAGGCCTCCCTCTTTGCCGCCGACACGACCCCGCAGACCCTCCTCGCCGACCCCCGCCCCCCGCCGTCCCTCCCCCCACCCAGGGCGCAGGTGCCCAGCCCGCTCCGCTATCTCTGGGAGGCGGGAGGCCCGAAGCTGCAGGCCCCAGCCCGGTCACTGACGGCTGCGCCCGGGCGCGCGCGCGACCCCTCCGCGGCCACACACACACACACACACACACACACACACACACACGCACACGGCCGCGCGCGCCCCACTCACATGTTGTTGAAGCGGAACAGGTCGTCGCACGTAAAGGCCCGGAGAGTGGTCATCTTGCCGTCGCCTCCCGAGCCGGCGGGCTACGACCGGTCGCTCGCCCCGCCGGAAGTGGCCTGGCCAGGAACTTCTTCCGGGCCACGAGTTGCTAGGCAACGCAGCGGCCACGCACTCCCTCTCGTGGGCAGAGTGCGGAATTGCCACTCCGCTCTCAGCGGGTCCAGGGCTTCCATTCCCCAGCCGCAAACCCTGAAGCCCTCCCCAAGTGACTGTAGGGAAAACACTACTGGTCAGTCATTTGGGGCGGAAGGGAGATAGTACAGAGGTAGGGCGCTGGTCTTGCAGACCTGGGTTTGATTCCTGGCATCCCGGATGGTTCCCCTAAGGACCTCCAGGAGTAATTTCTGAGCACAGAGCGAGGATTAAGTTCTGAACACTGCCAGGTGTTCCCAGCCCCCACCCCCACCCCCCCGAATTTTCTTTTTTTGGTACATGTTGAACATTTTATCCTTTTTTTAAAAAGAATTTTTATTAGTGAAACACCACGAGGTAGACTTACGAGTTTATGTACTTTGGTTTCAGTTTTACAATGATCGCGTACCCTTCCCTCCACCAGTGCCCATTCTCCACCACCAATGATCCCAGTTTCTCTCCCATCCCCCATCCCCATCCCACCCCACCCTTGTGGCAGGGCATTCACTTTTGTTCTCTCCTTTTGGGTGGTGTGGTTTGCAAAAGAGGCATTGAGTGGCAATCATGTTCAGCCTACAGTCTACTTTCAGCATACATCTTCCATCCTGGGAGGATCCTCCTAACACCTTTTGTTTGGTGCTCCCTTCTCTATCTGAGCTGCCTTTTCCCCTAGCATGTGCAGCTGGCCTTCAAGCCAAGGAGTGAACCTCCTGGTACTTATCTCGATATTCTTGGATGTTAGTCTCCTATTTTGTTACTTTATGTTCCGCAATATGGTCGATGGTGCTGAATCCTTTGCGGAACCCGGCTTGCTCTCATGGTTGTCCTTCATCTAGTGTTCTGCCAATCCTATTTAGGATGACTCAAGTGAGCAACTTGTAGATGACAGACAATAGACAGATCGGGCAATAGTTGCCAATGTCATGGATGTCTCCCTTCTTGAACAGTAGTACAGTCCTGCTGGTTTTCCACTGGGACGGAACCTTGCATTCAGACAGGTAGCGTGTGAAGAGCTGAGCCAGTGTATTGATGAGTACTGACCGGAGGTTCTTCAGGTGTTCAGGTCTGACCTTGTCTGGGCTGGGTGCTATTCATTTCTTTACTGACAAAATGGCGTGTTGGATTTCGGAAGGGAGAACATAGAGAACGATATATCCATCCTGTGGAATTTGGTATGTCAGCAAGTGAACATGTCTATCGAAGAGATTTGAGTAGAAGTCATGGATAATCTTCTCCATTGCCCTTCTGGAAGATGTGATAGATCCATCAGGATATCGGAGGGCAATCATCTTGGTCTTTAGTTGGCGAAGGATAGGCGGACGTTGTGAATGCTTTTCTCGGCTTCTGCCGCATCTACCAGCACTTCTGCTCTTCTCTCTTTGAGGTCATCCTTGATCGCATCTCTGCACTGCTTTGCGAGCTCAGATGTTCCCTTGCTGTTGCCTGAGGCATGCGCCAAACCACGCTGGCGAATAAGCTCCAATGTTGTCAACAATGGCATCTTCCAATGTTGCTGCAATAGTGCCAAAGAGCTCCCAGTTGGTGGTCGTTCTGGGAGTTCTCTTTTTAAACTTTGCAGCCCTTTCTCCCCACTCTGTGAAGTAGAATTTTGCATGAAGGAGATGGTGGTCCGATCCCGTTTGGAATTTTGGGACAACAGCGACATTGGTCAGGCAAAACCGTCGATTGAATATGATGTGGTCTATTTCGTTGTGGAATCATCCACCGGGAGACTCCCATGTCCAACGTTTAGATTCTGCCTTCTGGAACTGTGAGTTACCATGGATGGTCTTGGTCGACATGATGAACTCAGACAGTCTCTCACCCTGTTCGTTTCATTCTAGGCCATGGGTCCCGATGTGAAGTTCTTCAGCTGATCTTCTCGGTCCTATCTTGGCATTAAAATCACCCACAATGATCTTGTAGAAGGTGTGGTCTTCTTTATAGAACTTCTCCAGCTCCATGTAGAACTTCTCAATTTCTCCTTCATCATAATTAGATGTTGGTGCATAGACAACGAAGATAGAAACTGCTGGCAGTGAGCCACATCTATTCAAATGTAAACGTCTGATTTGGGTTGTTAGGCATTCAAATGAATCAATGCTCGTGGCCAAGTTTGTGTTGACAAGGACACTGACACCTCTGACACCTCTTTTATCACATGTTCCGAGGATCAATTCTTCTCCAGTGTCGAAAACTGCATCATGAGATTGGTGCCTTCTTGTCTCGGTCAGACCAATGATGTCGTACTTGATCTTTCACACTTGTACCATCAGGTTCTCTATGGATGCATCTGATGCTAGCGTACGTGCATTGAAAGTACAGACTGATCATTTTTGTCTTCCTTCGTTGTGGCAGCCTAGTTCGGCCTTGAGATTTTATCGGCTTCTCCTTTCTCATTCTTCTCAGTGCTGCCATGTTGTTCAAGCCTTCAGGGTCAGGTGAATGAGACACATTTAATTACTGGTTTTGGCATATTGAATACACAACGGATAGCTTGCCAGGCTCTGCCGTGTCGGCGGAATACTCTCAGTAGCTTGCCAGTCTTTGCAAGAGGGATAGAGGCTTTTGGGGCGATCTCTAATCGCCCTCATAGGTGTTACCATATTTGAACCCTATTAAGTATGGTATGGCAATTTCGGAAGATGGGTATTTAGTGTCTTATGATGTGTCGCGTGGGTCTGGAAAGCGTCCTGGAGTGTGGTGGCGGCTGGGTAGTGGAGGTAGTGTCTGTAGTGGAGGTCTGCCAGTGGGGTATTTATCTGGTCCTGGTAGGGGTAGGGTGGGTCTTCTGTGCGCAATCCGATCCCTGGGTCTCTGGTGGTTGGTGGAAGCAGACAGCGCAGGGTAGGGTGGGGCTCCTGATTATAATCCCTTTGTCACCTGTGGTTGGTGGGAGCAAGCAGAGAATCTGCAAAGGATTCAGCACCATCGACCATATCCACATGATAACCAAGCTCATTGAGGTTTCTCGGGAGTTCAAGATGCTGCTCTGTTTAACGTTCATTGATTTAAAGAAGGCCTTTGATTCTGTTGAGATGGAAGCGGTCATTGAAGCCCTAGCCAATCAGGCCATTCAAGCTCAGTACATCAAGATCCTCCGTGAGCTGTATTGCAGATTCACTACCAGAATCTCACCATTCTACAAAAAAGTAATCATCGATGTCAAGAGAGGGGTTTGGCAGGGTGATACCATTTCACCAAAACTCTTCAGTGCCACCCTCAAGAACATCATGTGATGACTGGAATGGGAAGGAATGGGAGTGAAGATAGATGGTCGGCAACTACACCACCTCCGCTTTGCTGATGACATTGTTTTAATAACAGCAAACATCAGCCAAGCAGCACAAATGCTGGCCGACTTCGACCGTGAATGTGGAAAGGTTGGTCTACAGCTGAATCTTATGAAGACAATGTTTATGAGAAACAGCCTCGTTCCTTACGCCCCATTCGCTCTCAACGGAATGACCATCTCCGAATGCAACAGCTATGTGTACCTAGGTCGGGAAGTCAACATGACAAATGACCTGGCACCCAAGCTGCACAGGAGGAAGAGAGCAGCTTGGAACGCCTTCAAGAGCGTTGAAGAAATAGCTAAGAGGACAAAGAACCTCCGGTTCCGGGCACTTCTCTTTGATTCCACTGTTCTTCCTGCATTAACATATGCCTCAGAGACCTGGGCCCTACGCAAACAGTATGAGAACGCTATTCGGGTCTCCCAAAGAGGAATTGAAAGAGCTATGCTTGGAATATCACATTTCACTCAAATGAGAGAAAGAATCCAGAGTTCCAACATCCATCGACGATCAAGAATCAGGGACTCTGTCTCATTTGCCAAGGTGTCAAAAATCAGATGGGCTGGTCACGTAATGAGATTTAAAGATGACCGCTGGACTAGAGCTGTTACTGACTGGAATCCATGGGATGTCAAAAGACTGTGCGGACGCCCACCTACCAGATGGTCAGACTTCTTCATCAAGATCATGAATGATCGGTTTGAGGCTCTTCATGTTCCTAGAGCGAACAGACGCCATTGGGCTACACTAGAACCAACAGGGACAAATGGAGACATTACTGGGGCCCACTCAAGCAAATCGCTGATTAACGGGAAGTCAAGTGATCATGTGATATTCCGCAAATGAATGCAATCTTTCAATGTCTGTACCTCTCTTTCTGACTCATTTCACTTAGCATGATACTTTCCATGTAGTACTACTTGTATGTAAATTTCATGACTTCATCTTTTCTAACGGCTGCATAGTACTTTATTCTGTAGATGTACCAAAGTTTCTTTAACCAGTCATCTGTTCTTGGGCATGCAGGTTTTTTCCAGATTTTGGCTATTGTGAACAGTGCAGCAATGAACATAGAAGTGCAGATGTCATTTCGACTATACTTTTTTGCCTCTTCGAGATATATTCCCAGGAGTGGTATTGCTGGGTCACATGGGAGCTCAATTTCTAATTTTTTGAGAATCGTCCATACTGTTTTCCAAAAGGGCTGAATAAGTCGGCATTCCCACCAGCAATGAAGGAGAGTCCTTTTCTTGCCACATCCATGCCAACACGGGTTGTTTTTGTTCTTTTGGAGATGGGCCAGTCTCTGTGGTGTGAGATGATATCTCATTGCTGTTTTGATCTGCATCTCTCTGATGATTAGTGATTTTCTCATGTGCCTTTTAGCCATTCGGATTTCTTCTTTGAGAATGTTTCTCTTCATTTCATCACTCCATTTTTTGATGGGGTTGGATGTTTTCTTCTTGTGGAGTTCAACCAGTGCTTTGTATATCCTTGATATCAACCTTTTATCAGGTGGGTATTGGGTGAATATCCTTTCCCATTCTGTAGATTGTCTTTGTATTCTGGTCACTGTTTCTTTTGAGGTGCAGAAGCTTCTTAATTTAAGATAGTCCCATTTGTTTATCTCTGTT